GGTTAAGCGACTGCCTTCAGCTCAGGTCATGATCCTGGAGTCCTGGGATCGAGTCCCACATCGGGCTCCCTTCTCGGTGGGGAGTCTGCTTCTCCCTCTGACCCTCTTCCCTCTCATGCTCTCTATCTCTCATTCTCTCTCTCTCTCAAATAAATAAATAAAATCTTAAAAAAAAAAGAAAGAAAGACAAGCATCCCTCCACCTGAGGCTCTTGAGGTCGGTCCAGGGATGTTTTTCAAGCCCCATCCCCCAGCAGCCTCTGGTCTTGAGGTCCTGGCTCTGCAGATTTCCAAAGATATCTGGAGCCTCCCATCAGCCCACGTCCCTTTCCTGCTCAAAGTCTTTCCCTGGACCTACAATCCGAGAATAGGAGAATCCGGCTACCTGCTAACACCAATGAGACTTTCCTCCATCCTGTTCTAAAGAACCCTTCCTCTCATCTCCCATTGCTTCCTGCACCCAGGCCTGGAACCACGTCCACTTTTCATGTTCAGGTGCACTTCCAACGCCCCTCCTTGGGGAATCCTCCAGGCAGGGTCGGGTCGTCCTCCAGGGCCCCTCCCTCTGCCCAGTCCGAACATTTAGGGGTTGGGACTTCCCGCTCTCGCCCCGCAGTGGCCAGGCTAAGTTTGAAGAATAAACTCAATAGGTTTATTGAGCAGCGTGAGACCTGAAGGTTCCAACTGTGCGGTCTCCAATTCTGGGACCCTCGCCCGCCCCGAGGCCATCCACATCCCCTTGGCCTGGCTCCTCCTCTCAGGGCTCTCCCTGGCCCTTCCACACACCTCAATACACGCAGCGACCCCATGCTTCCACAGGACCCACGTCGCCAGCGTGGGCTCCAGAGGGACCCCCAACCTCCCCAGCGAGGATCCGTACGTTCCCAGTCCTCTCCGCGGGGCTGCGACCCCTCGGCAGGACCCCAGTCCCCTAGAGGGCCCCCAGAGATTTTCCAGAATTCCCGAATGCTCAGGGGCCTCCAGTCCCCTAGACAGAACCCCCAACCCCCACGTAGGTCCCACAGGGAGACTGAACCCAGAGAGGGACACACAGCCCTCAGCGCGACCCAGAGTCCCTCAGAGCTCTCGGTCCCCACAAAGGGATCCCAGTCCCCTCGGTGTCTCCCTGGACACCCTCAGCGGAACCTCCTGCCCTTCAGCCAAGGCCCCCCATGTGGCTGGCTGCCGGCTCACCATGTCGCCGGCGGGAGCGCGGTCGGCTGACCTGAGGCTCCGGGCATCTCGCAGGAGTACAACCAATCAGAGCACGATTCTGTTCTGACAAACAGCCCATAAGGCCAATCGTCAGGCTTGCAGCTGGAGCAAACCACGAGGGACACGAGGTCGCTCGCGTTGCATGCCGGAAGTTGTAGTTCGAAGACGTTCGGCAAGCTCCGACGTCGGTTGAGTCAGGACTCTCTGGTACCCTGTGTAGCTGTCCTCTCTGAGATACAGTCTCCTAGCATCCGCACCTATTGCGCAGGTCTGAGGCAGATACATTCATTTATCCACGCACTGCCTCCCGCTGGAGAGTTCTGAGTGTGGAACTCCCCTGATGAAGAACATTTGGTGGCTCCCACTGACTAGACTCCCAAGTGCTCAGACTGAATTCTTACACCTCTACCTGACTTCAGTCAGCCGCCAGCACTATCGTACACACTGTAATACAGCTTGCCACTGGCCGTACTCGCTCATACCTCCAGGCCCCTGTAAATGCTATCTTTCATCTTGGAATACCTCCTTTCTCAATCTTTTTCGTTTAGCAAAGCCTTACTCATCTCTATCAGCCAGGACTCTGATTGAATACACACACACACACACACACACACACACACACTAACTCAAATGGGCTCCAGCAAAAAAAAGGGGGAGGGGAATTTTGTGACAAAAAACTCTAAAAGCATAGTGAGCTTCAGGCATGTCTGGATCAAGGACAAAAAAAATGTCAGTCTCAAGAATCTGATGTTTTGTGTTTCCAGGCTTGGAGGAAAGGGCTTCTAGCATGGGTACCTAAGTTTTGCCATCTGCATTTTTATGGATAAAGTGTGTCTGCCTGAATGTGGACATATATGTGGGTATGATTATATGTCTCAGGTGGTTTCTTTAATTTTTTTTAAAAAAGATTTTATTTATTTTTTTTGAGAGACAGAGAGAGCAAGTGAGAGAGAGCCTGAGCTGGGGGGAGGGGCAGAGGGAGAGGAACAAGCAGACTCCCCGCTGAGCAGGGAGCCCAAAGTGGGGCTTGATCCCAGGACCCAGAGATCATGACCTGAGCCCAGACACTTAACTGACAGAGCCACCCAGGCGCCCCAGATGTCTGAGGGTTTTTATGGGGCCTGTGAGTGGGGCCTGTATAGTTGATTGCCTTGTCTCTGTGGGTGTTTTTGTCTTTGTTTATGAGCACATGTGGATGTCTGTTTGCAGGGGATTCACTGCGGCTTGGTCTTCTGGACTCAGAGTGTCCCCTGGAGAGAGGATGGGTGACAGTGGTGGTGAGGGTCCCTGGGATTTCCCTGGACCAACATGGGGGCCATGAGCCAATCTATGAATCCATGAGGGATCCAGGGAAGCTGGGATTTGGGGAGGGTGTCAGAGAAAGGGACCGAGAAAGAAAGGAGGGGCATTTGCTGCAGGTCCACTGCATACCAGGCTGGGGAGGTGGGGTGGTTGATTTCATGTGCTCCTTCCAGTATGCTGAGGTGGCGGGACAATCGTCTCCATTTCATTGATGAAGACACTGAGGATCTGGGAGGCCCAAATCTCTACGGCACACCTTGACCTCTACTCCTGCACCCAGGGCTTATGAATTTAGGTGTCACAGCGGCACCCATGCGGTGAACCACAGGAAATTCACACGTCCTCATCTCAGGAGGTCCTCATCTTCCCTTCCACAACTCCCCATCCTCCAGGTTATCCACAAGCTCTGGAGTTGGCCTTGACTCCTCTCTCGCCCATACCTGATCTGTCAGCCCCTCCTGATGATGGTTCCACCTTCCAAGTGTAGCCAGTCTCACCCAACCCCACAACCTCCACCCAGTCAACTTCCGTCACATCTCCCCTTTAGTCCCCATCTCCCCGATCTCTGGCTTCCACCCCTACACCTCACCTCAGCCCCCACAGTCTATTTTTCCCCAGAGCAGCTTAAGGACACCTCTTAACACTTGGCCCAGACGATGTCCCTCCTCTGTTCTAAAATGGACACTCCTCACTCTCTAGTCTACGTTGGATGTGCATGTTGTCTGTTCCACATTGGACGTTCCTTGTTCTCCATTCTCCACTGGGCGAATCCACATTCTCTGTCCTGCATTGGGTACTCCATGGTCCCTGATCCTCAAGACACTCCCTATGTCTGTCTGCATTAACAGCCCAGCCTCTCTGATTACACTGAAGTCCACACTCTCTCTCCACATTGGCCATTCCACCATCTCTGTGTGTATGATGCTCTTGAAAAATGCATCTCTCAGGTTTCTGACTTCCATGACTGCATTTGTGCCACAATTCCCATGCTGCTTTCAACCAGTGACTGAGCTCCTGGGAGACTCAGGGTCCCTCTGATGGTGACAATAGCCCTGACTGACATCATCACGGTGTCCTTAGAAAGGCTGGTAGAGGACACTTTCACACAACCCTCCCTGCACCACCCCACACACACACCCCCACAGAGCCAGCAGGTGCAGAGCTGGAGTTTGGACCAAAGGTGTCTCCAGAAGCCAGTAGCCTGCTCACTGACCTTTCATGACCCAGGACACCCCAAGCTCTATATGTGCAGGCAACATGTGACACAGACCTTTCTGAGTCCCCAGGCTCAGACCCTGAAAACATGGGGTGAAGCCCCTGGAAGCCAAGAGGGATTTTATTTTTTAATTACTATTTCTATTTTATTTTTTACTTTTGAGCGGGGAGTGCAGAATCCAAAGCACACTATTGGGCGCCACCTAATGGATGATGGCGAAAGTGCAGTCTCCCAGGATGGGCATGCAGAACCACACCCACCCGCCCGTGCCCCCACCTCCCAATCTTTGAAAGCAGCCTACATTTTTAAGAACCCGACACGGGGCGCTTAACCTGTGGGCACTAACTTCAGGAACTGGCCTGGCTTCTTGTCCCCCATGAGGGTGAGATCCAGAGGCTAAGAAGGGACCCTCTCCAGCCTTGCCTCCATTTCATCCAACCAAGGCTTGGGACTGGAAGTATTTCTAGGGGGGCTCAGGGCAGGGGACATGGTGGGTGACAGGGCAGACGGAGTAGAGGGGTGGGGGCAGCTGAGGAGCTCGGAAAGGTCAGGGATCAGATCTGAGAGTTATAAACATCCCACGAGACCACCTCGGGGAGTGACTGGACAGGGGAAGCAGATGGAGCTCCCTTTGGCTCCTGGACACCCAAGTCTGCCCTCAGGATGCCGGCCAGAGTGGGGGGAGTTTGTGCCCCCCCCAAGTGGGTAGATAAACGCCCGGCTCCCTCCTGCCTCTGGTGGATCGAAATTGCTGGGTCAAGGGATCAAGGAATATGTCCATTAAAAGATGAATGGTGTAGTGACCGCCCCATTGAAAAGTGTTCAAGATTCCCAACTGCTTCTTGCTGCAAGTGATTGCAACCCAGCCTGGAAACTTTCCCTTGAGCACACGACTTGATATCCTCAGGAGGTGGTAGCCCAGCCTCTCACCCCTGGAGTGGAACCACTTTAGGTGCGTGCTCTAAGCACTCCCCCAGGGTCCCCAGGGGCGGAGGAGGTGGGCAGCGCTGCCCACGAAGTCACCTGCTCGCTGCTGCCCCCTGCAGGGCTCTTCCCCGCCACGTCCCTACCCCTCAACTGCCTTCCTCCGGGATATACCCACCTTCGAATCCTAGTCTCAGGATAGGATTCTGAAGGGAGTACCCCAAACCGAGACAAGGCAAGACTGAGACCTCTTGGGAAGAGATGGGAGGACCCGGACGTGGTGGTGGTTCTGAGTAGCGACAGATAGTTTCGTCCATGGACACCACGCGTGTTTTATTGGTGGATACACACACAGGAAAGGGAGAAAGGATCCCCCACCCCCGACCGTGGATCTGAACTCCAGGCCCTCACTTTGGAGGGACGTTAACTGCTGGCTTTTTTCTAACGACGTGGGGAGGGAGACTGGGACCCCACGTGCCCTCGCCCCGCGTGGGAGGAAGGACCCGTGCCACCCCTGGGTCCACTACCGAGCCCAGCCGTCGGCAGTGGGCAGACGGCGCAGGGGGGGTCCGGGCCGTAGGGGCTCTGCCAGGGGCCGGGACAGGAGCAAGGGATAGGGGAAAGTCTTGGGAAAGTCGCCGGGGCCCCCAGGGGCCGGCGAGAGGCGCTCGGACTTGATGCTGACTGGGGGGGTTGGTGGGGAGGCGCCACGGGCGGGGGGACCCTCCTCACTCAGGCTTCGGCTCCCACTGCAGGGAGAGACAGAGAGAGAGAAGGAGGGCTGTGAGCTCAGCGAGGAAGGGAGGAAAGCCAGGGAGGTGATATGGCTTGGGCAAAGGCTCGGCAGGAGGACCTTGGGAAAGGAGGGGGTGGCGGTCCCTCTTGGGGTTTCCAAAATAGCCACCCATCCCACCAAGAACAGACGGGAGGGGCTGAGTGTAGAACCAGGAGTGGCCACCAGAGGTCAGCAGTGGCTAGGGGCTTCGGAAGACTTGGAGGGACCCCCCCCACAACCACCCGAAATACGGAGCGGAGAGAGGAGGGGCAATTGGGGCACTTACCTCGGCTGGGGAGGGGCGGCTGGGGGCCCATCACCCCTGGAATGCTGCCAGGGGGCCAGGGTGGGGGGCTGCAGCAGGCCAGGGGGCGGAGGGGGGTCTCCCAGGCCATATTCTGGGGCGAAGGAGGAATAAACTGAGGCCCTGACCTCAGGGAGCCCCTTGCCCAAGCTTGACCTATCCCACCAGCCAGTTTTCAGTTCTGGTGGGTGGGGAAATGCTGACCACCACCCCCCACCCCTCACCCCCAGCAGGCAGGTGTATGGATGTCTCCCATGGCAGGGAACATGGGGGGTGCATACCTGGGGGGCCTGCAGGGAGGAAGGGGAAACTCCCGAGTGGGGGTCCCGGAGCTGTGGCAGAGCATGGACTCTGTAGGCTACCATAGAGGCCTCTCTGTGGGGAGACAGGGTACAGGGGAAACTGAGGCCCACACACAGGCCATCCTGCCCTCCCCCAACAGCCCTGCTACACCTTCCCCTCACTCACTGAGGTGTTCAGTCCCCCTCGGGCCCCCGCCAGGCTACCAGGCAGGTCCGGCCTCCGCCCATCTGCTGTCAGGTACAGGGGTGGTGGTGTCTTGCTGGCAAGGTGGCTCGGTGAGAAGAGAGGGTGTGCCAGGCCTGAGGAGCAGGAAACCCCCAGAGAGAGGGCATGTGGCCATGTAATCTAACGAAGTCTGAGGTCCAGAGGTAATACACAGACAAGCAGTGCCTAAGCCAAGATCCCCCTACAACCCCCCTCGGATTTCCACCCCCTTTTGCCCCAGGGCCTGTGGCCCATGCTCACCTGGGGGCCCAGCTTTGGGGGCTGCTGGCCGGAAAGGAGATGGGCGGCTCTGGGCGGGGAGGGCCTCCCCAAGCCCACTGGGGTCGCAGCCTGGTGGGGGCAGGGCCCCATATACCATGTCTGGGCTGGGCATAGTAGGAGCTGCTGGCTGAGGGCAGAGAGGATGGGATTGGTTGGAGGAACATGGAGACAAGGACATCAAATCCAAGACAGAAAATCAGAGGCCAGCCTCCACCTCTGGAAGCCCTTGCTACTCCTCCCTCTGGCCTAACCCCACATGATGGAAGGAGCCTGTGTCTGGTGCTGTCACTCACTGACAGGCCCAGAGCTGAGGCTTCTTGCTCAGCATGGGGTTGGCACCGAGGGGGCTTCCCAGGGTGTTTGATGAATCAAAGAAATAAAGGAGGAAGGAAATGGCTGTCCATTGAACTCTTATGCATCCTTCAAAACCCCAACTATAAGGCCCACTCCTCCAGGAAACCTTCCCTTTCCACCTAGGCAGAGACCTGCTCCCTAACTCTAGACTTCTTGGCCTTGGGTCCTTGTCTGGGTCTCAGCCTTGACCACTTGGGCCTAGGAGGTGAGGGAGGGCCCCTTCGTGGTGGTGCAGGAAGTCACTTACATAGAGCCGGGGCCGGGGCAAGGCTGGGTCACCCCCGTCACCTGCCAACCTTCGCAGCTTCTCTCCTGGCCCATCAGGCCCTTCATCTGGCTCCAGCTCTGGTCCATCAAGGCCCACACCCCTCCGCTTCAGTGTCTGTGGGGAGGGGAGACAACAGGGTGACCCTCCCCCGATCCTAGCCAGGGAACCTGGTTCTATGGGAGAGGGAAGATACCTCCCCCACCCAGCTCTGTGGGTGGATCGGAGTGCAGGCGCAGCCTGTTCCAGCCAAATCCCATTGACCAAAAACCCTAGTGAGTTATCATCTAGCAAATTCCAAATGTGTGTGAGAGAGGGACTGTCCTGCCCTGGGACCAGAGAGGCCCAGGTCACACAGTGGGGGCCAAGATCCACTGGCCCTGCTGGCACTGTCCTAACACTCCTGAATACAGCCCTGGTACCTCCGTTCCGCACTGGAGTGCAGCCTCCGTGCCTGGCGTGCGACAGGTATTTCATAAATGTTGGAGGACAACCTTCTAGGCTTTCCTGAGCTGCTTCCCCCAGGACCTGCACACTCCTGGAGCCCTGCCTCTCCTTTGACAGCTTCTCCCCAACCCTCCTGAAACATTAGGGGTCGCCACGTGCAGCCCCAGGCCTACTGGTCTCTCCATCTCCATCTCTGGGGCTTCAGCTTCCCATCTTGGGAAAAGATTCCCATGTCCAAAGGGAAGTGATCTCGCCCAGTCTGGGTTGCGGGTGTGGGGACGAATCAGCTAGTGCCGGGCTGCTTCTGTCCCTTTCTCCTGGGGACACAGCAGCTCAGACAAAAACACTCTGGGCTCTCAGTGAGGTCTGCTTGCTCTCTGCCCTCACCAAACAGGGGACAGGATTCAATGAGGTGTGTGCGGGGCACACAGTGGATGTTTTTATCTCTACTGTGGGGGCACCTGCCCCTCAGAGGGACCCCACATTGCCTCAAACCTGTTTTTACCAGCAGTAAAGCCAGCTTGCAACACTCGTCTTTTGTGCCAAGAGTCCCTAGGCTCAGAGCAGGCGCAGGGAGCTGGACCTCAGGGCGCTGGGAGGAGGGCCCCAGGGGTACCTCGAGGATGTCGGTGTTGGTGCGGCTCTCGTGGGGCTCACTGTACTCTGTGTACTTCAGGAGCACGCGGTCCATGTCCGTGCTGGCATACTGGAAGAGGCGATTGGCGCTGTTGAAGATGATGAGGGCGATCTCACAATCGCAGAGCACGCTCAGCTCATAGGCCTTCTTCATCAGCCCGAACTTCCGCTTAGTGAATGTCACCTGGAGCCAGGACCCACAGGTGGGGTGGGAGAAGACATGGATTGGGGGTGGTAAGGAGGAGATGGAGGGGCCTAACTGTTCCCTGAGCATGCCTCAAGATTCTGTGCCTTATGCATGCTGTCCTTTCTGGCTGCTCCCCTAATTCTCACTTCTCAACCCGGCCAACTCCTATTGGTGCTTCAAAACCTTGTCCAAATGTCCTCTCCTTTGGGAAGTTTCCTGGGTCTCCAGGACAGGGCCCACATTCCCTCTCTGAGCTTCCTCGGTTCTGTGCCTCCCTCTGGACCAGCCCTCTGAGTTGGGTGGGTTTGGGTCAAACTTCATCTCTCCCGTGACTGGGGCTCCAGTCATCAGGGAGAATAAATGAATAAATCATCATGAAAATGAGCAAATGCTACCTGTCAAACTCCGGACACCGCATCAAGGCTCCCCATGCCCTTGCAGCTCCCCCAAATGGACAGGCCTTTGCCCAGGCTGGGTCTGCTGCCAAGAACGCCTTTCCCCCAGCCACTGTTCCCCCTCCCCCGCCCCCGTGAACTCACCTGCCGATTCCTTTGGTCCAGAATGCGGGAGATCTGGATTTTTTTCCTCCCCATTGTGCCAGGCTGGGTAGAGCGACCTTGGCCTTGCAGGAAAGGAAAAGAGGGCAGAGTGGGTGGATGGAAAGTGAGACCGGGACCCAGCCTCCCTTCTGTCTTCCGCCTGCCCCTGTCAAGCTCTGAGGGAGAGATGATGGGGGGAAATCAAGGCAGGCTGGGTCACCCCCACAATCCCCACTCTCAACTGGCCCCAGAGGCAGTAGATGCTCAGTGAACACTTTTGGACCAACTCCACATGAAAAGAAGGCTAACCGAGGGCAAAGGATCGGGGTACAGATGCCCCACCCCTGCCTCTAAAACAAAACAAGCTGGTAATTGTGGGACCTCGGGGGAGCCTGACCTTCCTAAGCCCCTGTGCATGTGCAGTGGGGATAACAGTGTCACGCACAGCCCAGTGTTGTTGGGAGATAAAATGAGCTAACCCCCGGGAAGCATTCAGATCCGCCCAGCACACAGCCGGTGCTACATATGCACTGCTGTTATGAATACTAGCAACAGCCTAAAAGCCCTTGATGGGCCAGGTTGGATGGACATCTGATGCCGATACCTGGCAGCACTCAGGAAACATTGCTCCCTGAATCACTGATCTTGAGCCACGGGAAAAAAAAAATTTAAAAGCCTGGTACACACATCGGACACCTTTAAGCCATTCGATTCAAAACAGCTCCCCAACAAGCAAGATCCAGGGCTGTGATTATAAGAAAACATATATTTAAAAATTGCATTTAGAGTAGAAAAGACTAGAAGGAAATGAGCAAGATAGGAGTCAATGCTGGGTGGAAATTTATGGGTGAATTTTTCCTCCTTTGTAAAAAATTTAGATGCAATTCGCACCACCTAAAAATCACCATTTTAAAGTGTGCGATTCAGTGGCACTTAGTGCATTCACATTGTTCTACAACCATTACCTCCAGCTAGCTCCAGAAAGTTTTCATCCCCCAAAAAGGAGACCCCGTGTGTATTAGCAGTCACTCCCCATCCTGCCTCCCCAGACCCTGGCAACCACAGATCTGCTGTCGCTATGGACATGTGCATTCTAGAGGTTTCATGTAAATGGAAACGTACAACGTGTGACCTGTGGTGTCTTTTTTTTCCTTCCCTTTTTGATTATCTGAATTTTCTAACTTTCCCCTCTCAGTGATTATAGATTATATCCATTTAAAAAGAATTGGGGCGCCTGGGTGGCTCAGTTGGTTAAGTGTATGCCTTTGGCTCAGGTCATGATCCTGGGGTCCTGGGATCGAGCCCCGCATCGGGCTCCCTGCTCAGCGGGGAGCCTGCTTCTCCCTCTGACCCTCCCCCCACTCGTGCTCTATCTCTGTCAAATAAACAAACAAAAAAAATCTTAAAAAAAAATAACAGGGGAGACCTGGGGGCTCAGTCAGTTCAGCATTTGACTTTTGATTTCAGCTTGGGTTCTGATCTCAGGGTCCTGGGATTGAGCCCTGCAGGGGGTTCCAGGCTCAGCGGGGAGCCTGCTTGAGGATTTTTCTCTCCTTCCCCCTCTGTCCCTCCCCTCCCTCTCTCAAATGGACAAACGAATCTTTAGAAAATAAAAAGAATAACAGGTGGGAGTAGGTCAGGACACCCTGAAAAGGCCTCAAGCTTAGAGCTCACACTGGGGTTTGGGCCTGAGATCTGCTTGAGAGAAACCCTGGACCCTTCTCATGAGGACCTTGGATCTCCCTGGAGGCGTGCTCAAGGGTGAAAATGGACAGCTGGTGGAGGACAACATGTCCCCAAGATGTGCAGCACGTTGGGTCCAGGCCTTCCCCAGCTCTCCCCTTGCAGGGCTCCTCGGAATGAAGGAGTCAAGTTGCCCACCGCGTAGCATTCATCCCACTGTGCAGACAGCCACCCCGAGGCATCCAAGACCCCTTCCACCAAGTCTATGACCACATGACCTCCTGGCCCCTCTCATGTCACAGGTGACTGAGGCTTCAGGTGAGTGGCCTGCCCAAGGTCAGGTGGGCCTGCGGTCAGGTCCCAGACAGCCTCTGACCCACTGGGCAATCCTCAGCAAGGGAGGCCTCTCCCTAGGCCTCAGTGTGCTGTTCTGTGGAGAGGCTGGCTATGAAATGCAGAGCACCTGACCCAAGGCCTGGGAATGAGCTCTTGGGAAGTGTAGGAAAATGTGGGTCCATCTCCAGGAGCAACCATACCTGCTTCCCAGACTCCAGCTCCAGGGGTTTGGGTGGGACCCCCCCCCACACACACACTGTTCCAGAGTCCCACGGCCCAGGAGCGTTAGACACTGTCGTATTTGGCTTGTTGTGTGACCCCAGGTGTGCCTTCAACTTTCTCTGGTCTGGGTCTCTGAACGGTCATAACTATGCAGAGCCAGGACCCACGGGAGCCCCAGCCCTGGCCCCCCAGCTCCAGCTTGACTTGCTAAATTTAACTTTCCGGGCTAATTTTAATCCCTGGCCGGAATCGGGTGCGTTCCCACGGCTGGGACGTGTTGCCCCCGCCCTGACAGGTCCCTTGGGACAGAAGGGGGGCACTGGTCCGGAGGTCCTGGTGCCAAGGTGACTCCGGAAATGCCCCCGTGCCTGGGGTCCCATGGGAACATGGGACTCAGACATGAATCTCCAGGCCTGGAAGATCTGAATCTGGACCCTTCTCAATCTGTCCCCAGTTTAGACAAGGACATCTTGGCCAGGGCAAGGCTCATATAATGAGGGAGACCCATGAGCCAGAAGGTGGGGGCGTTTCTCTCTAAACTGAGACCCAAGAGCCGAGACAGGAAGTGAGTTCCAGGTAGAAGGAGGAGCAGATCCAAAGGCCCTGAAGAAGGACGAGACACAGTAGTGAGGCTGGAGGGAGGAGTCCAGGGGTAGAGGCCACAGAGACAAGGTCACTCCGGGTCCTCTGATCTGTGGGGAGGACTGTGGGTTTTGGTCTAAGAACGACAGAGAGCCATGAGAGGGTTTTGAGCAAAAAGGAATGGGGTTTGATTTATCATTTACAAACTTAGCCGCAGCTGCCATGGGGAGCAGGACTGTTGGGGGCCAGGCGAGAGATGGCAGGAGGCTTGAGGGGAGACCAGGGCTGTGTTCATCTGGGCAGAGACTAGGGGTGAGGCCCCCTCTGTTCTAGGCCTACATCATGCACTTGAAATCACTGTACCCCAGGGGTCTTTGGTTCCTCCCAAAGACACCAGATCCTCTGCCATCTCTGGGTCCAGGCCTGACAGATGCAGATGGGCTCATGCAGGGGTTTGACTCTTCTGACCCTCAATGACCATGGAACCCCCAATCCTCACCCAAGAACCAAAGTCATCCCAATTCTGGCCCTTGAGTGATCTACCCAACATACAGCTCTGATCATACCTCCTTCTTGCTCACACACTCTTCATGGCTCCCCTCTGCCCTCAGGAGAAATTTCTAGTCCCCAGCCTGGCATTTGAGGCCCTGCCCCAATCAGCCCCTGTCCATCTTAATCTACCTTCAACAAAATGACTCTGCCTGGAAAGCCCTTTTTTTTCACTTGGCCAACTCCTATTCACACTTCAAAACCCAGCTCAAAAAATTAATTCCTCTAGGAGGCCCTCCCTGCCCTCACTCTGGACTCCTACAGCTCCCGAACTTCCCCTCCAGTTTTGACCCCATGGGGCCAGGCGTGTGTATATCCAGCTCTGTCTCCCTCAGACTGGAAGCCCCTCAGGACCAGATTTAGTGAATGGAGCAGGTCAAGAGAGACTCTGAACTCCCCCCAGCTTCCCTCAACAACTTCCTCTCAGACTCCCCCAGCTGACTCCCTACCCAGAAATACATGCGCATGCAAATCCAGTCACTCAGCGTTGACCTGCTTCAAGCCCAGGTGTGAAGGGCCAGCCAGGGAACGCGGAGGCGGAGGGCCCGGACTGTGCATATATATTTGTACTCACATGCAAATCCCCACTGAGCCGCAGACGGGCCCAGTGGCCTGTTCTCCAGATGTTGGCGTGATCGGAACTGCTGGGGGGAGGCGGCAGCACATGCTGGATGTGCCAGGCACGAGGGGGGAGGCCTCTTCTGTGCACACATCCCCCCTCTACCCCCACGCTATCCAGCCAGAAAGCAGAGAGTTTGTGGCATCTGTCCAGCAGAGAAGCAAAGAGATGGACCCATTGACCCGAGAATGGAGCAGGAAGAAGGGCCAGGAGAAATCCAAGAGGGCATCTCAGAGGAGGAAGCATGTAGTTGGGCGTTGATGGACAGGTTGGATGGGGGGGTCTGAGCAGATGGGAAGGGGGTGGGCATTTGAAGCTGAGAGTCCATTACCTCCCTACCCTTTTCTTCATGTCCTCATACTTAGCATATATTAAATATCCACCATGTGCCAACCCCTTTAATAAGCTGATCACAAAAGAAGTAGAAAGTTTAAGTAGACCAATGACCATAGAAGATTAGAAAAGTGACTCAAGACCTACCATTAAAAGGACAGCAGGCCCACATGGTTTTATGGCTCTCATCAAACCTCAAAGGAGAGGGAAATGCAATGTTATTGAAACTAACCCAGACCTTTGCAAGCAAGGAGAATTGCCCAAGTCATTTTTACAAAAACTCCTATATGTCAGAACCCGACTAAGTCCAGAGAGAGAGATGTATTGACCACAAAAGGGTCAATGTGAACCAGAGATTTCAGGGAAGCTCTCCTGAAGAGGTGAGATTGGAGCTGAGACCTGAAGCACATAAAAGAGACAGCCAAGCAAGGGAGGTGCCAATCATGGAAGATTTTGTGGGGGTGAGGGGTATTCCCGGCAGGGGGATCTCCAAGAGCAAAGATCTGGAGCGATCAGAAGTTTGGTATTTTATTTTTATTTTTTTAAGGTTTTATTAATTTATTTGTCAGAGAGAGAGAGAGAGAGCACAAGCAGGGGGAGCGGCAGGCAGAGGGAGAAGCAGGCTTCCTGCGGAGCAGGGAGCCCAATGCAGGACTCAATTCCAGGATCCTGGGATCATGACCTGAGCCGAAGGCAGAAGCTTAACTGACTGAGCCACCCAGGTGTCCCAGGAGTTTGGTATTTTAAAGAAATCACAGA